CCCTCTCTCTCTCTCTCTCTCTCTCTCTCTCTCTCTCTCTCTCTCTCTGAAGAATATTTTTCTTTCTCGGTTAAAAAAAATATATAAAGCGACTTGAAAAGATTCTTTTTCAACATTTCTACACCATCCTATTATCCATTTGCACATTTTTCTTTTCGAATAGAAACGCAACAAATTAATCTGATAAATCGACTCGATCCCTCGTTAAATCGTTTCCAATTTAATCTTATATCAATTTCTCTTCAATATAATATATAATATATTGGAAAAAGAAAAGGATAAAAAAAAAACTTTCTAAAACTAAAAAAGAACATTCTGCACAGAGAGACAGATCAGAAACCAGATGCACAAAGATATTTTCATCTTTTGGTTTTCAAAAATCAAACGTTACATCCCTCTTAACGATATTTAAACACGCCAAACTCTTTCGTTTATATAAAAATTCGATGGAATGAAAGAAAAAAAAAATGATTACCCACAACGTTAGGTTGAAAAGGATCGAGGATAGAATATCTTTCTGTTTTCTCAACCTTTATATATCGGTTATATATATCTAGTTGTTGATGAATTTTCAATTTTCATTCCGTAGAACACTCCTCTCCTCTAATCCACTTCCTCTGCCTCTGCCTCTGCCTCTACCTCTTCCTTTTCTGGAACTGTTTCGCGCAGTTGAAGCGGGACCTCCGCCTCTTCGATCGGCCCTTGCTCCACTTCTGGCTGCTCAGCGATACTCGATCCCCTCACTGACTCGTTCGTGGACAGTTGGCTAGGCTTCTTCGGATTTTGCGAGCTGCTCCCCTCCTCGCCGCTTTTATTCTTCTCTAGGTTCGAATCCAGTGGAGTGTTACGTCTCTCTCTCTCTCTCTCTTTCTCACGCGCATGCGCACACGCACGCGCACGCTTGCGTGTTTTTTTATTTAATGGTGCGAGGTTTCTAATGGTTATTTAATTTAAAATTTAAAAATTTCCTCTCTTTGAATTGAATCGTGTTCACGATCAAGGAGAGTTCAATTCGCGGTTCAAAGAAATGCTGTATGTCGAAATTTTTACGTTTTAAATTAAATTTTAAAATTTAAAAATTAATTCGATTAATTCAGGATCGTAAAAGGATCGATGATATTTAATCCTTTGCGGTCGACGAGTTTTTCAGATAGATATGAATGATTCCATACATCTTCCTAATAAACAAATAAATAATCTAACTAGATAAAAAAAAATCTAAGCATAAATCGCTTATCACCCGAGTTTCCGCGTAATTTTACGGAGATTATACGGAGATTTAATTTTTCAGAAAACTCGTTAAAAATGTGTATTTTATAGCATAAAAAATATAAATAAATATATAAAAGTATTAACACTACGTTTAATTAATATAGAATAAAAAAGAAAATACATAGTAATCAATATATAAAAAAATATACAAATATATAGAAAAATTAAACGTATATAATATAACTTAAAATAAAATGGAAAAAAAATCAATAGATATTTATAATAAAATTTTAATAGAAATGAAAAGAATAAAACAAAATTACAGTTTTTTTTTAAATATGGACTATAACAAATAAAAAATAAAAATATACTTACAATTATAAAATATGCTAGTTTTATTCACTAATTGAATCTAAATCCAATGATTTGCGTAAAATAGGGTGAGATACATGGATTGGACAATTTGTATTACAAATTGACAAGAGAGATTATCGACTGAGACTCGGTCTCTCGAGCGCAAAGGCGTAATCTTTTGCTTGAATTGACGATGTAAAAAAAAAAAAAAAAAAAAAAAATTCGATCAAGATAATTGGATCTGTAACGATAAATTTATAATTCCCCTCCTGAATTAATTCGTTTCTCGTCGAATCGATCGATTTATTAACGAGATCGACAAGCAAACCTGCTAGATATTGTTCGCGCATCTTTGCTTTTAAGTATGCAAGTTTCTTGCAATTGTTCTCCTTGGTGCATCCAATTATAGGCATCTTTGACCCGGTTTCTTATAAAGGATCTAAAAATGAAATTTTCAACGTGAGTTTTTTTTCTATTTCTTTTTTCGAGGATTTAATCGAAAATAAAAAAGAAAGAAAGAAAGAAAGAAAACAAAAATTAAAAAAAAAAAAACCTTCGTTCGATGTTTCAAGTTATCCCCAAAAGCGTTTCTCCTCAGAATATGGATCAAAAACAACTACTCCACCATCCGCATTTACCATTGGTTTGGCATTTACTTTTCTTTTTGCTGGTCTCGTATTTGCACCGTGCCTCACAAGCGGGAGTTTCGAACGTTGACTGTTTCGAAAATGCGATATTTATTACAATTTGTTCATCACGATCAAGTTGCAACAACTGGGCAAATAACGATCCCGAGTTGTAACAACAACAACAACAACAACAACAGGTTTTTGACAAATGCGTAATTTTGAATAATTAATTGTTAATTAATTTCTGAAATATTTCAACGGTCACATTTGAATCACGA